TGCGGTTTTTGTAGTCTACCTCCTGTTATCTAACTCAATCTGATCCTTAATTTGATTTTGTTGCGTAGAAATTTGCACTGATTATGTCAGAATAAAATTCATATCTCTTGATTCTAATAGTAATCTTTTTTGAAGTCAGACCTCCATATCAGTGAACCATAGCGTGTGAAAGACAATTATTTTAGGGAAAAATGTGTCCAGGCCCCAAAAGCAGAAAGTTCATGTGACCCGCCCCCTTGTATTTTGCCCCATGTGATTCAGCCCCAAATACACATTGTATTTGTGTTAAGGCCCCAAAGTACCAGATCCTGAGAAAAACCCAACAAAAGTTACAAATTTACCCTTTGATTTGATTGAGCTTGGTAACTGCGCCCATCCCCTCTCTCTCTCTCTCTCTCTCTCCACTCTATCTCTCAGCTTCTCCTTCTCTCTCACTTCCGTCATGGCCGCTGAAAATGATTAGACTGAGGAGGTCGTGGAAGGCGAAGGCGAGGACGGTGGTCATGGAGTCGGAGGTCGGGGAGTCATCTTAGAAACAGCTCGTGAACGCGGGTTCAACAACAAACACGGAACATGGTCCGGGGACCCGCGAGCTGACGGAGCCTGGGGCTTTGGTCTGATGCATCGTTGTTCTCCCCTTTCTAGGTTACGGAATATCTTTACCGGGGACCCGCGAGCTAACGGAGCCTGGGGCTTTGGTCTGATGCATCGTTGTTCTCCCCTTTCTAGGTTACGGAATATCTTTACCCAAATCAATGTCTTAATCAAGATAGTGCTCTTGTTTTCTTGTAATTTATGAAGGGAATCGATATTGGATTTTTGTAGTTTTTCTCTTTCATTTAATTGAAATGAGATCTCCTTGGATTCTTGAACAGCAGTTTGGGTTTTTCTTTAATGCCTTTTTCTTGTGTGATTTGGTGATTGACAGAGTTCTGTATAAGAGATTAACAGCAGAAATTTTCAAAAGCTCACATTGAATCTTCAGGCATATCGACATTTAGCTAAAAATTGAAGACAATGTGATTAAAAGTCGACTAAAGAATCTAAGAACCTGTGAATTTGAAAGGGGGGACAAGGAAAATTAGAACTATGAACCCTGCACGCACCGCGGCTCCACCCTATGATCCCTCGGACCTTCGAGAAGATGAGGTTGCTCTTCGAGCTTGACCTAAGCAACAATCGGTTCGCCGGTAGAACTAATACTGTGCAGAATAGAACTAACACTCTACAGATTAGAACTAACACTGTGCAGATTAGAACTAACACTCTACAGAATAGAACTAACACTGTGCAGATTAGAACTAACACTCTACAGAACGGAACTAACACTGTGCAGAATAGAACTAACACTCTACAGATTAGAACTAACACTGTGCAGATTAGAACTAACACTCTACAGAATAGAACTAACACTGTGCAGATTAGAACTAACACTCTACAGAATAGAACTAACACTGTGCAGATTAGAACTAACACTCTACAGAATAGAACTAACACTGTGCAGATTAGAACTAACACTCTACAGAATAGAACTAACACTGTGCAGATTAGAACTAACACTCTACAGAATAGAACTAACACTGTGCAGATTAGAACTAACACTCTACAGAATAGAACTAACACTGTGCAGATTAGAACTAACACTCTACAGAATAGAACTAACACTGTGCAGATTAGAACTAACACTCTACAGAATAGAACTAACACTGTGCAGATTAGAACTAACACTCTACAGAATAGAACTAACACTGTGCAGATTAGAACTAACACTCTACAGAATAGAACTAACACTGTGCAGATTAGAACTAACACTCTACAGAATAGAACTAACACTGTGCAGATTAGAACTAACACTCTACAGAATAGAACTAACACTGTGCAGATTAGAACTAACACTCTACAGAATAGAACTAACACTGTGCAGATTAGAACTAACACTCTACAGAATAGAACTAACACTGTGCAGATTAGAACTAACACGCTACAGAATAGATCTAACATGGTATAGATTAGAACTAACACGCTCCAGAATAGAATTAACATTGTATAATTTAGAGATAGCTTGTTATAAAATAGAACTAACTTGTATAAATTAGAACTAACTTGGCATAAATTAGAACTAACGTGGCATAAAATTAGAACTAACATGGTATAAAATTAGAACTAACTTGTTATAAAATAGAACTAACTTTGTATAAATTAGAACTAATGTGGTTAGTTCTAATTTTTACCAGCTCGTGTTAGTTTTAATTTATTTAATGTGTTAGTTCTAGTGTTAGTTCTAACAGATATCGTGTTAGTTGTAATTTATTTAAGTCATTAGTTCTACGTAATTGTTGGGTCTAAACGCCATGTTAGTTCTATTTAATGATGTGTTAGTTCTAGCTTCTCTAGTGTTAGTTCTAACTGGTATCGTGTTAGTTCTAATTTATTTAAGTCGTTAGTTCCAGCGTAATTGTTAGGTCTAAATGTCATATTACTTCTACTTGATGATGTGTTAGTTCTAGCTTCTCCAGTATCAATTCTAACAGGTATCGTACGTGTCAGTCCTAACAGGAGCTCAACTAGAACTAATATAGCCACTAGAACTAACGCTTATATTAGAACCAACACTAGCTGGAAGTAGAACTAACATTAAATAAGTCAGAACTAAATTAGAACTAACATAGAACAACATAAAATAACATAGAACAACATAAAATAAGTTAGAACAAACATTAAATAACTTAGAACTAACATTAGAACTAACATGAATTAGAACTAAATTAGAACTAACATAAAATAAGTTAGAACTAACATTAAATAACTTAGAACTAACATTAAATAACTTAGAACTAACATGAGTTATTGCTCATGATAGAGTTCAAAAAAGGGCGGGAAATTTCCCTCTATTTTTTCCATCAGATTACATTAATGGGCGTGACTTTCCATGTAGTTTGTGGACCAGACGTCTAGGGAAGATAAGTGGAGGGGTAATTTCGGGTTTTTTTTCAAAATACAATCTCTTTTTTATACTGCTGACGTGGAGGGGCCTTAAAATATTAAATGGTACTTTTTGGGGCTGAATCACATGGGGCAAAATACAAGGGGGCGGGTCACATGAACATTCTGCTTTTGGGGCCTGGACACATTTTTCCCATTATTTTATGATATTTGCAAAGAAAAACTAGAACAAAATATGATTTGCTCCAGACTATACTAGTTTGTATCGCAAAAGAAATCTTTTTCTACCCTTTAGTTTTCAGCTTCTGGAGTAAGGGTTGTGAAAAGTGACAAAGTCAGAACATTGTCATTATCACTTGCCAGAGATCATATATCACTTGTATGTTAAATTAAAGCACTCTGAAATTTCCTCATTTCTATAGTTTATTTAACCTTAATTGTTAAGGTATCACTTACTCTTATGTACTTTTGTATATATAGGATATGGAATCTGTTGTGGAGACCATGATGCAACAACTTTTGTCAAAAGAGATACTTCATGAACCTATGAAGGAAATTGGAGAAAAATATCCAAAGTGGTTGGAGGATCATAAAGCTGAACTAAAGCCAGAAGAATATGAACGTTACTCTCACCAATATCAACTCATAGTTCAGCTGAATGATGCATATGAACACGATCCTGATAACTTCCAAAAGATTGTTGATCTAATGCAAAAAATGCAAGAATGCGGTCAACCTCCTAGCGATATCGTCCAAGAGCTTGCTCCAGATCTTGATATAGCAAACCTTGAAGGCCAACTGTAAGTCTTCAACATTGTTCTTTTACACACATGCTCAAAGGGTGAACTCCCATGTCCAGGCACATGTGAAACCTGTGTCATTACCAAGATCGACTGTGGAATCATTATTTCTGTCGCATTAGATAACAGATGTATATCATTTCAATTTTAATGACTTCTATTAATTATATTAAGTCAATCTAATTTGTTAGGCTGGGTAAGTGAGTATACTGGTGCAGTCTGAGGTTATTAAAAAATTTATTAGGAAAACATCAATAATCTCGTATAAAATTGGTCATTAGGTATCTTCTATTTTTATGACTTCATGCATTTATCACATTTTTTTTCACAACATATGATATTGAAGTTCCTTGGGAAAATCTAGACCTTTTTTTTTTACTTTCACTACTTTCTGTACAAACTGTTCTATAATTTTAAATGTAAGAAGCAGCTTTCATTGGGTCAAAACAAATGAAAATAAGCAAATATTATGGGTTATAACCCATGAAATCGTGAATTTTAAAATATGCTTAGTTAATTACCATTGGGTTGAAACGAACAAAAGTGGATAAAATCGTGTTATAACCTATGAAAATCGTGAATTCTGTAGTATACATACTTATTTGTAATTAGTCAAAAAGGACGAAAATTAATAGAAATCATGGGTTTCAGCCATAAACATCGTGAATTTTAAAGTAAGTATAATTGGTTGTCATTAGGTCGAAAGAAATGAAAATGCAAAAAAAATCATGGGTTATAACTCATGAATGTTGCGAATATTGAAGTGTTCGCCTCATTCATTGCCATTAGGTGGAAATAGATGAAATGGACAAAATTTGTAGGTTAAAGTCAATGAAAGACGTGAACTTCAATGTACACATACTTATTTTCACTAGGTCAAATAGTGAAACTTAACAAAAACCGTTGTTTATAGCCCATGAAAATCTTGAAGTTTGAAAGAAAAGGAACTAATTGCTATTGGGTCGAAATGAATGAAAATTGACAAAAATCATGGATTATAGCCTTGAAATGTACGAACTTTAAAAATCATGGGTAAAACCTATGGAAATTATGATTTTTAAAGTATGTATAATTAATTGCAATTAGTTTGAAACAAACAATAATGAGCAAAAATCATGTGGTTAAAGCTCATGAGATTGTGAATTTTAAGGTATGCATACTAATTAGCATTTTGTCAAAGAAGAATATTGATAAAATTCGGTGGTTATAGCCCAAGAAGATTGTGATTTTGAAGAAAGAAAACTTAATTGTCATTTGGTCGAAATGAGCGAAAATTGAAAAAAAATCAAGGGACATGTATGTTATATGACCTTAAACAGAGGCTAGAAACCAATTTTAACCTAAAAACTTAAGCAATTAGGTATTAGTCCCAATCTCCTATCTTAAACCCATCACTATTTTCTTATTCAATCCGATGTGAGGCTATACTCACATATGAATACTTAATAATATAGCATATGAAATTCATGAATTTTGAAAATCATGGGTACTAGCCCATGAAAATCATGTATTTTGAAGCACGCATAATAAATTGCCATAGGATCGAAAAGAATGAGAATTTTTTAAAAATTATGGGCTATATCCCATGAAAATCGCGAGTTTTAACGTACATATAGTTACTTACTAGTGGGACGAAACTAGCCAAATTACTAAAATCATAGGTTGTAACCAAAGAAAATCACAATTTTTGAAGTATTCATAATTAATTTCCATTGGATTTTGAATGAATAATAATGGACAAAACTCATGGATTTAAGCCTATGAAAATTGCGAATATTAAAGCTCACACAATTAATTGTTATTTAGCTGAAAATAACAAATATCAATAAAAGTCATGAACAATAGCCTATGAAAATCATGAATTTTGAAGTGTGCATACTTATTTGCCATTGAGATAAAAAATGAAAATTGATAAAAATCGTATGTTAGCCTATTGAAATCACGATTTTTTATGATAGAAAATTTAATATCTATTAAGTTGAAACTAATGAAAAAATATTAAATCATGGGTTATAATTTTCCATGAAAATACATTTTTTTTGGAACACGATCAATTACCACTAAGTTGAAACAATAAAAAATGAGCAAATATCATGGGGTTATAGCCTGTGATTTTTGGAATAAGCTTACTTAATTAGTATTGAGCCGTAACGAAAAAAGGGAAACAGTAGTGTTCTAATTTGTGACAATCGCTAATTCTTGAGAACGTATATGATATACTTATCTGTAATTGGGTCAAAACGAACGAAAATGAACAAAATCCTGGGTTGTAACCCATGACCATGAGAATTACAAATCTTAAAGTATGAATAATTAGTTGCCACTTGGTCAAAACAAGTTAAGGTGCAAAAAAAAATCTCGAGTTATAATTCATGAAAATTATGAATTTTGAAGTGTATGCCTAATTAATTGCCACTAGGTCAAAATAGACAAAAATGGACAATTTTTGGGTTAAAGTCCATGAAAATCATAAACTTTAAGGTATGCATATTTATTTACCATTAAATCAAAGAACAAAAATTGACAAAAGTCGTTAATCATAGCCCATAAAAATCACTATTATTGAAGAACAAAATACTTTAATTGTCTTTAGGTTGAAAAGAATGGAAGTTTAGAAAAATTATGAGCGTCCATGAAATTCGTGAATTTTGAATCGTTGGTAATAGCTCATGAAAATCTTAAATTTTGAAGTATACATAATTACTTGTCATTAGGTAAAAAACAAAAATTGATAAAAATCATAGATTGTAAACCATGTAAAATGTGAATTTTGAAGTACGTGTAATTACCTGCCATTGGGCGAAATGAACAAAAATTGTGAAAATTGCACGTTATAACCCATTAAAATCACGTATGAAGTTACAATTAATTGTCATTGGGTAGAATGATCAGTAATAGACAAAGACCATAGGTTATAGCCTATAAAAATCGTGAATATTGAAGTTCACAATATATGGTTATAGCCTATAAAAACCGTGAAGATTGAAGTTCACAATATATTGCTATTAGGTCGAGATGGACAAAATTGGACAAAAGTCATGGACTATTGCACATGAAAATCACGAATTTTGACGGATGCATGCTCATTTCCATTGGGTCGAAGAAAGAAAATTGATAAAAATCGCGGGTTATAACCCATGAAAATAGGATTTTCTATAAAAAATTAGTTGCATTTGGCTGGAAACTAGAAAATTAGATAAAAATTATGGGTTATAACCCTTGAAATTGCGAAATTTGATGTGTATACCTAATAAATTGTCATTAGGTGGAAATAGACAATATTGTACAAAATTTGTGTGTTACTACCCATGAAAATTGTGAATTGTTGGTAATAGTCCACGAAATTCACGAAGCTTCAAAAATATGGGTAATAATTATGAAAATCACAAATTTTGAAGTGCGCATAACTACTTCCAATAGGGTAGAAACAAACAAAAATTGACAAATACCGTAGGTTATTGTCCATGTAAATTTTGAATTTTGATGTATAGACAATTGTCATTAGGTTCGAATGAACAATAATAGACTATAACCGTGGATTATAACCCATGAAAATTTTGAATAATGAATTTCGCACAATCAATTGCTACTGGGCCGAAATGAACCAAAAGTGGACAAAAAGCTTGGATTATAGCCATGAAAATTACGAACAATGAAGTTTACACAATCAATTGATATATGACGAAAACAAACAAAAATGGATAAAGTCTTGGATTATAGCACATGAAAATCACTAGTTATAACGTGCGCAAACTTATTTGCCATTAGGTCATAGAACAAAAAGTGACAAAAGTCGTAGCTTATATCGAGATTTTCGGTGAAAGAAAATTTAATTACAGTTTGGTCAAAACTAATGAAAAGAGACAAATATCGTGGGATGACCTTTGAAAATTGCAAAAATTGATGTGTGCCTAAAGACAATATTGTACAAAATATGTTCGTCGAATGTATGTAAAACTTGGGTAATAGGAAAAAAATTCAATTACCCTTGGTTATAACCCATGAAAATCATAATGTTTGAAGAAGGAAAACTTAACTGTCATTAGGTGTTGAAACTAAGGAAATTTGATAAAAATCGCTAATCATAGCCCATGAAATTCGAAAATTTTAAAACTCATAAGTGATAGCCCATCAAAATCGTAAATTTTGAAGTATGTATAATTACTTGCATGAGGGCAAAACGAAAAAAATTACCAAAATCATGGGTTGTAACCTATTAAAATATTGAAATATGAAGTTGTCATAATTAATTGTCCTTGGGTCGAGTGAACAATAATGAACAAAAATTGTGGATTGTAGTCTATGAAAATCGTGAATATTGAAGTTTGAGCAACCAATTACTATTAGGTCAAAACGCAAAAAATGGACAAGAACAAGGATTATAGCCCACGAAAATCACTAAATTTGAATTACGCATATTAAATTTCTATTAGATCGGAGAATGAAACTTGACAAAAGTTATGAGTTATAGCGCATGAAAATTACGATTTTGATTTAGGATATTTTTAATTGTAATTTGATAGAATCTGACAAAAATAGACGAACATCTTGGGTTATAATTCATGAAAATTGTAAATTTTGAAGTGTATGCCTAATTAATTATCATTTGGTTGAGATTGATAATAACGAACAAAATTTGTGGGTTAAAGCCCATGAAAAGCGTGAATTGGTTCATAGCAGAAAATTGACAAATATCTTTGATTATATAGCATATGAAAATCGATTTTTGTAGAAAGAAAACTTAATTTCCATTAAATCAAAACTAAGGAAAACATAGTAAATCGTTAGTTATAATTTCCTATGAAAATAATTTTTTTTGATAACCGTGATCAATTATTATTGGGTTGGAACGAAGAAAAGTTAGCAAATATTGTTATAGTGTTGAATTTGTGATTTTTGAAATATGCTTAATTAATTAGGCTGAAAAGAAAATTAAAATTATGGATTATAGCTTATGAAATCCATGAATTTTGAACTATGCATGCTTAATTGCAATTGGA